TTTCCAGCTCCATTGTCCTGTGCAGAGCAACAAAAGAAGACCCAGACGATTGGCTGGGACTCAGGAGGCAGAGAATAGTTGGGGGCAGGGCCAGTCAGAGGTGGCATTTGCTGGTTCTCCAAACTATTCCAAATTTCTGCTACCGGTTCTCCAGAACTGGTCAGAACCTGCTGAATACCACCTCTGCATCTAGTGAATTTTAGGATTTCTGTAAGTCTGATAGGATAGCCAGAGCATGGGGAAAGCAAGTAGATGTGCCCTGGAGTCAACAATTTTGTTGAAAATTGTTCATAAATAAATCATTAAAAATATTATTTATGGATATATGGGTGAGCAGTTTCCATTAGCTTGAGAAGTGCATGAGGCATTACATTGCATGCTTTATTTTATTTCCTATTGGACTCTGGGTGGTTTATAGTACATACGTATGTATGTAATATTGCTAATATTAAAAAAGTAATAGCTCATAAGGTTACACTAGAAATAACATTAAAAGCATATGTCTCCATTCACACTATTTTCTGGGGGAGTGGAGGGAAAAGTACCATTAATTAGGAAAACTCCAAATTCAGCAAATATACAATTGTCAGCAACTATGAGCAGAAAGAATTTTCAACACCTGAGTCTTGTGAATTGGACTTTGGAGATGCAGGACAGAAAAAGTATTAACACTTTTGAAATTGGGTATCTGAGAAAGTTCTTTTGAGAATACCATGGACAGCCAGGAAAACAGACAAATCATCAGACAAAGCCAGAAATTCTCACTCGGGGGGCAATAATTAGACTCAAATCATCCCACTTCAGACACACTTGTAAGCTTACTTTCTGAAGAAGGTTTGGATGTTGGAAAAGGTGAAAAGAAAGAGAAGAGGATGAGCAGCAGCAAAGTAGGTAGTTACAATGGAGATGGGTGCACCATGGGAGACTGAAAAACCAGGTTGAGGACAGATATCATGAAGAAAACCTATAGATGTGGTCAGGGAAGTTAAAAGCAGCTTAACGGCACACAATCAGGTAAAGAACTGCACGTATTCTTAAAAGCCTATCCACCAAGTTCTCACTAGTTAAAATAAATGGTATGGTATGCCTAACACTCAGTATAATTCCTGGTCATAAAAACATAGCAGAATTGTTTAATTAGAGTAATGCAGTAAAGCCAAGACCTTCACTGAGGCGCTTCAAGGCCAAACATTTTAGCTGGCATCTAGCTTTTGTGTAAAGAAGACTTTTGTCTGCTCAAGCTGGTATTGTCCTAAGCTGAAAAGAAGGAGTTCCTATCTGATACTATCAAGCTGAGGGATGATTTTTTTGAGCAAAGGCACGCCTCCTTCAGTGCAGACAGGACCACTCTCCTCACACAGACATGAATTTATTCCTACCTGAACTGAACTACATGTCATCTCCCAGAAGAAAGTAGAATCAAACTACATGTTATCCTATTGCATGTGTTAGATCTAGATGACTTCCTTATTAATATTTCATGCTGTTCACCGCTGGGATTAATTCTAGTCTTTCTGCTGTAAAAAAAAAAAAAAAAAGGAATATGCACTACTTTATTGTTCTGTAACTTGTTTGATTTTGTCAAAATCATATTCAGGAAAACATATTTTTAACTCTTTAAAATGAACTGTATGGTAAATATATCTGACAGCTATCAAACTAAATAGAGAATTACAGTCTAGTTTTTTTCTACATAGGATCTTCTAAATCTATAAACCTAAATATTTAATCATGATTTCCTACAAATGGAGCTACAATAAACAAAGTTAGAGTACAAATTGAACACCAGTATTGCTGCATTTAATCCATTTGTAAAATAAAGTTGCTCCCAATCGTCTATCCAAATGAAGACAAAGTCATCTGCAAAACAACATCAAAATAAAATACATGATGGAAAACAATTGAATTCCTTTTAAGGGGTCATTGGTGCTTTCTGAGCTTGACTGATTGGTGCTTTCTGAGCATGCGCAGTGAGGCTCTTCCAGGGGACCTCTCACATGCCAGCAGAAGTGGCGTTGCATGCCACTTTCGGCACAGGTGCCATAGGTTCACCATCATGGTTCTAGAACCATGCAACCATCATTGTATTAAAATACCAGCGTAATAAAATATCCCTTCAATATAACTCATATAAATAAATCACTAGTGTAGAAATAAAGTGACTCAAAATCTGGTTGCAAAGTCTAGTTAAAATATCTCTTTCGGAGCTTGCATAATGTTTGAGATGTCATAATAGTAATACACAGGGACAAAGGGTAGGTTGCATGTTTGACATATTTTTGCAAGAACAGAAGATGAGTCAGACCATGTTTGCAGAAGATTCTGAATGGAAACAATCTCTTTGGTTTGGCAGAGACAAACCCCAGTCACAAACTATGAGAAGCTGTTTTTCCAATCATGGTGGTAAAATAATATAAAAGCTTTGTTAAATTTTGGGCCCTTGTGAAAAAGAAACAGTATATTTTAGCACAGTCATGATCAGAAGAAGAAAAACTGAAATTAAGCTGTAGATAACTCTTGATGAGGTTTATGAAAGCATGCATCCAGAGGTGGGATTCTACTAGTTTGCTCCTATTCTCTAGAACCGGTTGTTAACATTCTAAGCAGTTCGGAGAACCGGCTGTTAGAAGAAATTACTAGCCGAATCCTGTAAGGAAGGCAGGAAGGAAACATTCTGGTGTTGCTTGCAGAAACTGCCTCTCCGTTAACCCTTATTACATTCTTGGCAGGACTAGACTTTCTGTCTCAGGAATGTCTCTGGAGGTTTTTTTCTCTCCTTTGCTGGTACTTTGCTTGTGTGGAGTGACCATTCAAAGTTACAATGGCACTGAAAAAAGTGACTTATGACAATTTTTCACACTTACGACTGTTGCAGCATCCTCACAGTCACGAGAGGCCAGGCGAGGAGATGCGTGCCTCGATGTGAGTGATATTGAATTGGCCACACCCACCCAGTCACATGACCACCAAGTCACGCCCACCAACTAAGCCACGCCCACAGAACTGGTTGTTAAAAATGTGAATCCCACCTCTGCATGAATCCCTGAATCTATGGACATACTGCACATGCTTTGTTGGTTTTGCTGAAATGAACCGGGTGCAGGGTCAGAAGTGGAAAAATATTAACACACTGAAGTGTAAAGTTGCTAAAGAATGTGCTTCTGCAGTTAAACTAAAATTTGTAGTTTTAGAAGCAAAAGCCTTTGTAGATCTCCGTGCTATTTCAAAAACAACCCACGACAGAAGGCTACTTGCAAAGGATACCCTAACAATTCTGGAAATTGAAGTCCACATATCTTAAAGATGCCATGATTGAAAAACACTGTCCCATATAATGAGGGGATCATCCAAAAGGATTGTGTTTCTGCACTTAACCCAAAGTCATGTGCAGTGACAGGTAGAAATGACAGAAAGAAGCAGCGATAGGGTTGAAAACTGCCATGGAAATACCTTTTAGTCACATTTCATTTCAAAAGAAGCAATTTTTCAAAAATGAGGAAATTAGCAGAAAGGAAGTAAGAAACATTAAGTCAACATAATATGAACTAAGAAAGTATAATGCAAGTCAGGAAAGTCTAGGGAATCAGCAACATGTTTAATAAGCAACATGAATAAAACTATTAGACACATGGAAGCACTCAAAGACCATATCAGAAAATGGAAGTTTGGTCAAATGCAGATAACAAAAAAAACAGTATATAGGTATGAAAAAAGAAAGGCAAATAAGCAATAATGATTTTTTAAATGATTTTGATTTCACATATTCATGAATCATAATGACTTCATTGCTTCATTAAATAACTCAGATGGGATTCAAAGGGTTTTACTACAGGTTCTGTGGGCGTGGCTTGGTGGGTGTGGCAGGGAAAGGTCACTGCAAAATATCCAGTTAGAGGTGGTATTTGCAGGTTCTCCGAACTACTCAAAATTTTCGCTATCGGTTCTCCAGAACTGGTCAGAACTTGCTGAATACAACCTCTGACTCAGAGGCAGAAACATTTGGACTGTTGGTTATCAATGGCTTACTAAGGGGGAGATACTGTGGAACCTCAGGCTGCGAATGCTCCTGTTTGTGACCAAACTGGGTGATGAACAAAAAAGCCACCCCATTTTTGAATTGGGTTACAATTCAAAAATCGGGTGGTGAACAAAATCAGTGCAGAGGGATTTTCTTTCCATACTGATTTCCCCTTCAGCGGCATATTTTTTTGATTATGCGCATACGCAATTGGCCATGCTTCCAGACACAACCAAATCGGGTTGCAACCGGAGTCTGGGAATGGATTATGGTCACAACATGAGGCTCTACTGTAACTGAATTTATTCATTATAGAAACTATAGGATAGATATTTGTGGGAGTCTGAGAACCTGAGGCTGGAATTATAAATCACCTTAAGCTGAATCCTGGCTGGATTAGCAGAAATACTAAACCATAAACCATGTGTTAAACCAGAATGCCAGGTTCATACCACATATTTAGCAAAAACAAAACAAACCATGCATCCATGCATAAATGAATTACTAAGACAAATATTAGTGACAAAGGTAAAAATAACTTTATTAATACATTTAAAAACCAGCAAATAATGACATCTATATCTGAATTCACACTACATTCAAATGGGAAATTGCTAATTTCTAATTATTATCTTTTACAGACCTTAGGATTTAACTTGTCGCTTGCTAGCTGTCTTTGTTTTTTAAAGTCTTCCCAAAGTGATATAAGAAGAATGAGAAGTAGCATAAAAGTGGAAACTTCATTCATTTATGACTTTGCAGTTAATAATAAATTGTACAACCATACCTGGAATATTATGTGGAAATCTGTTTAAATCTACATAGTACTCAGCTGCTGAAATTCTAATTTAAGATTTTCCCATGAATGATCATGGTAGGAGCAGAATGTTGGGCCATTTTATCCTGTTCTAAATGACTTGTACCAAAACTGATTTCCAGAAAATGCTAATGAAACTCAACAGCCATTTGTCTAAAGGGGTATAGCAGCAGGTTAGACTAAAAGACCACCAAGATGCCTTCCAATTCTTTTATTCTAGTTATATTTTTTTACTTTGGAAGCCATGTGCTGAGGGGATAATTGTCTGGTCTAGTTTTATCCTCAGATATAACTGTGTAATAGTTCACTGGTAACTGTGTCACTCTTATGCCCAACTGACCTGCACAACCTCTTCCCCCTATTCAGCTACTATGGTTTGTAAACCATGGTTTATGGATGACTATGGGATGATATAATATGCAAGAGTAGCAGCAGCAGTTACCTTCTAAAGCTAATTGGCTTAATGGATGAAGATTCCCAGAAGCTCATAACTTCACAAGGACAATCAAGAGTGGTGTAGAGGTGCCCTGGCATGTGGAAAAATCAAGAATATTTGCAGTAGAAGCAAAAGTATTTCCTACAGCATTATGAAGACAGATACATTCACTTTTATAAGCTTTTATGGACCACACAGCCATTTTGTTTAATGCAGTTGAGAAAGTGATCCTTTCATAATTTTGAGTGGAAATTTTGAGTAGTTCAGAGAACCGGCAAATGCCACCTCTGACTGGCTCCGCCTCCATCTATTCTCTGCCTCCCAAATCCCAGCTGATTGGTTGGGTCTTCTTTTGTTGCCTTGCACAGGAGAACAGAGCTGGAAAGCACGTTAGTGGGGTGTGGAGGGAATGGAGATTTTGCAGTATCCTTCCCCTGCCACGTCCACCAAGCCACGCCCACCAAGTCACGACACACCCACCAAGTCATGCCCATAGAACTGGTAGTAAAAAAATTTGAATCCCACCACTGGTCTAATCCATAATAGATTGGGTTTACATAACATGCTCAAGCCAAATCAAACCAATCACTTTATGACGTGTCCTTGAATGCACCAAGATAGCCTGCTAGTCGCTTCTAGAGGAAAAGTTCTAAGTTTTCATCTTCATCTCATCCCTCACCCACTCCTTAGCCATGCCAGTTTTAAAGTAGTTTATTCTGTCTTCTCTCGGCACAAGACTGCCAAATAAATAATTTCTGACACTTTGTACACAGTATCGGTGCTGGCAACTATCAGGAATATTTTAAGTGCAAGTAGAATAAAGAGGCTTCAAACTTTGCAGGAACTTGAGAAAATTCCACAGAGGGAGTTACATGAAAACTCAGATCAAGGACAAGTGAACATGCTTGTGCAATGAAATAAGAAAAGGAGGAACTGGTGCTGGATTTGCTACATGAGGAAATATTTAATATATATAACTGAATAGGAATAAAAATCACACATGCATCATAGCATTTTGCTACATTTTTGCAACTAAAGATCGTAAAGTGCAAACTGGATATACATAGTTGAATTATTATGAGACATGGAGGGTTGTTGTTTTTTACCGCGCTGTTATTTCTGTTCATAGAAATGGTTTCTGTATAAAAACCTGTAGCCTATAGGTTGCATTTTCAGATCAAGTTTACAGTTGCAAAATGTCATTTACTGAATTATCTTCCCAGTTCACAGAGCCCTCTCAAAGCAAACTGAACAATAATAATTTTTTAACACTATGCAAAGCATTTATTTGATTTAAGCCATCTTTTAAAAATGGGTTGTGAGAACACAATAAGCAGTTCGCAGTCACAGTTTGTTATTGTTTACCTGTGTTATCTTTCTTTTTTGTGCATAGTAGACTATTCTACAGGCTGACCCATGACTATTTTTTTATCCCCACCCTCTTGATTTACGGGAATTCTCATTGAGAGGGGAATCAATCATCTTTAATTTTTAACTGATTATATTTAAAGCCAACCAATGGACTGTTCATAGTTCTCCAATTTCACTCCCTTTTGTGCCATACTCTCAAGGTAAGGTAATATATGTCACAGCTGTTTGGTTCTATTATCTATAGAACTTTGCACAAAGAAAGTTGTTTCTTGTTCTCTTGTTTTTCTTCCATTCAGAGAACTTCCTGTTTCCCCTCCTTGTTTGAAAAAAAAATCTCTTTATTTCATCATATTTTTCTAATTGTTTCTTTTCAGTAAGATCTGCTGGAGTAATGGAATTCCCCCAAAGAGAGTGAAACCAAGTTGGGCTTAATCACGTGACCAGAGATTGCGAAAAATGGGAGAGAGGAACTTGCCAACAGCCAGAGAAGAACAACAAGGAGTTGTTTGAGACAGGGAGAAAATAAGTGGCTGCTCTTCAGAATTCCTCCAGCAAGAAACTGTTTTAATACTTTTCAAGGAAGAAGATCTGAGAAGTAGGAGAGAGGCCTCCATCTTTGGTTGGGATTAAAAACAAGAGTCATTTACTTGGTAGGCTTTCTGCCATCATGAAGACCTGGCTGATCCTTCTGTGTTTGGCCATTATGACCATATCAAGTCTTCAGCAGGTGAGTGCCAGTTATTTACCTTATTAAGAGCAATGGAGAAGATTTTAACTTTTATTAGATTTCTAAGAGTAGGCAGCATCCTAATATTGGCTGTTGGGATAAAATTAGATAGATCACAATCACAGGGGAAAGCCAAGATCATGGGGGCGAACATTGGGCCCTGCTTTTTGGGCCCCTTTAAGCTGGCATATGAAACCGCCTTCAGGGCACCACCATCCATTCCCATTTTTGAGCAGGGCTATAGAAGAGAACAGACAATGAGAATCTGATTCTGTTATTAGCATCTGCCTGTGTAATGCCTTACCAATGCTTTTATGATACTTGTTGGGTTTTATATATGCTCTTCTTATGTACAGCTTTAGTGATGAAAGTTCTAGCCTTGTAGTGCTGAGAAGATAGTTTGAAACAGGGGAGAAAACTGCATTCTGGCAGCTTATGTGTTGCTGATTCTGTCACCAATAAATGCTTTGCAGGGGTGGGATGGAGGGTTATTCTTCTGACTGAGGATTTCTTATGACCATTTTCTGGTCATTAGTTCTTGGGGTTTGTGAAGGTTCTTTGCTTTCCCAGGACTGGATACGCCACATCATAGCAAATCTATACATAGTGCTTTACTGCATCACACACTTTCCCCAACAACAGGCTATTTATTGTTCTGGGTCGACTCTACCCTTCTAGGACTTGCGAGTTGCTGCTGCCACTCAATCCTTTATGCTCAGTCTTTTAATACTCAATTCTATAATGTTCAGTTCAAACAAAAGTCTTAAAATGTATAACATAGCAAACAATCGTTCTCTTTTTCCGAAAGGTTGTGCAGTGATTGGGAGAGGTGCTGTTTCAGTGTGGTTGCTCCTTTTCTGGTTGCTGCTCAGCTCCCAGCAAAGTTCCAAACTCCAGGCAGGAGTCTTATCAGGATATGCTGCCCCAACATAGCGGCTCAACATGGTGACTCTGGCAATTGAACCCTCTTGCCTGCTTGTCATAGCTACCAGTTTCCAGATGTCACCTCTGCTTCCCTGTTTGTAAGCCATTCGGTTAATACCACCCCCCTCCGCCTTAGCATTTGCTTTTGTAAGGTAAGCTCAGGTGAAGCTGCCCTTAGATATCGACACACCCTTAAAACACCAAAGTGTGGCTCCATTGTCACAGGCAGCTGGACACACTGGCTTGAATGGTTGTGAGTAAAGTTGGGAGTGAATGTATGGTTGCATAATAAGGGAAATGGTGGTGGGAAGCATTTTTGTCTGGCTGCAGCTCTTTTCCAGAGCACCCCAACTTCACTCCCTGATGGGGCAAGGGATTAGGCAGCCCATTTTGCCTATTCTGTTATTGGTCATTGTCAGCACTGAATTTCCCTTGCAGCACTTGCTCCTGCAAAAATAGTTATTGACCTGAACGTCCCTGCCTTCCATCCCAGAGTCTTCCTCTGTGCCTAGACTCACAAACATAGGCAAAAATCGTGGGGTGTGGGAAAGAGCACCCCGATGGTTCTCATGAGCCCACCTCCATGCCTGTCACCCCTTCCAAACAGAGGTCTAATTACTTTTGAAAGTGCACTAAACTCATGTCCAAAACTAGCCTGGATGATAGATTAAAAATTGAGAAGGAAAGGCACATTATGAAACTGGAGGACATCTCCATATTTATAAACTGTTAGGCAACTAGACAGCTGGCTCAAAGCACTCTCCTTTATTTGTCCAACCCATCCAACCATACATTAGAAGGGGCAATTGCTAGATGGTCTCCCACTAGCATATTGTATTTAATGATAGGGGAAATAACATCAGAAAAATACACCAATTGCTTTCCTTATATTTGTCTTCATTAAAACTGCTAAGGACAGCAACACATGCTAGCCTTGCATTGCAGCTCAATAGGGCTCAGATGTCAGGGCAGTGTCATTTATATCAGCACATTCTCCTGCCAACTCATGGACTGGAGAAATGCACATTAACATGCCCAAGAGAAACAGTCCCTAGTTCACTCCCTAGAGAGGAGCCAAGAAGCCAAAGTATTCCTAGTTCAGGTCCTTTGTGACCTGACACTGCCACCTTGTGGTTCAAATCTGATTTTAAATGTCTTCTAGGACACTGGAATAGAATAGAATAGAATAGAATAGAATAGAATAGAATAGAATAGAATAGAATAGAATAGAATA